GAGTTGGTTATTGAAGAATCGAGTTGAGCTGGTTTTACAACCAACTCGGTGCAGGATGAGAAGGAAAGTGTGAGTCAATGTTGGGGAGAATAATCGATTTGTGGTTTTTGTTTACCTTTTGCCTTACGGAGAATCGTGACCGTTGGTCCAGAATCCCCTGAAGTTGCTGATCTCAGAAACGTGACACGTACATAAACGATGCTGTTCTATTCACCTAAATGACATCCGATTCTTCTGTATTCACGTCTATGCCACTCCTCATTGACCATAGTATACGGCGTCCTTCATTTACTGCTTTCTTCGACCTGATTGGCAAGTTATTCTATTTAACTAAATCAGACGTCTATATCACGAAATGTAATATTATTTTTTTGTAATAACATTATTGAAATGTAAGATTATTATAAAAATATTGTATTATCTTGTTTAATTTATTTAATAGTATGTAAAATTACATTGTTTAGTTGGAGGAAAATAAAATTAATTGAATATATATTTTACCAAATTATTCTAATAATATATTTTTTTTAAAAAAATTAAATTTTAATATTAAATTATAAATATTTGAATGAAAATTTGTAGAATATTTTAATCATTATACTATCTAACTTTTGAGAAATATACATTTAATATATAATTAATATACTAAATTTATATTTTTAAATAATTTTCATAAGTATTATATTTATTTATATAAAATATAATATAACATGAATAAAATAATATTATAATCTCTAGTGCTAAAGATATTATTTTTCAATGTATAATTTTTTTTAATAACTTAAAATTAGATATTATTTTCAAATGATTACAATTTTACGATCATATTATTTTTCACTTCATAAAATTATAAATATTTACTATATTAATTGAATATTAATAATATTAAATAATTTTAAATACTCAAATTTATTAATATTTTACTAAATTAAACTTTTTTGTATATTATTATTATATTTATAATTTTTACTAAAGTAAAAAAATAAGAATTGAAAAGAATCATTATAAAAAGAATTATTATTCTAGGGGTATTCTTGTCTAAAGTGGTAGAAATTATCTAATGCCTAAGAACTTGGAGGTAATGACATTCCCACCATTTTAACAAAAAAAAAAGATATATTGGGAAAAATTATTCCCCATGATAATGTTTTTTTCTACGAACCAAACCTCTAAAGGTTTTGTTTTATGTAATATCTACTGTCTATAAAAGTCAAATATTTTATCAATTAATTTAGATCGAAAATGTCCATTGCTTAGTTCTTGAAGTCCTCAAAATTCAAATTATACTTTCTTATTGGTTTGGGATACCTTTTGTTGTATGTTATTTGGAACGATATTATTGGAGTTAGAGGTGTTCAAATGGTTAATTTGATCATTGGTCGAACTGAATTTTCATTAATATAATTAATTGAATTTTTTTAACTGTTAACATAACTGATTTTTTTTAAATATTAACCGAACCGAATAAATTTCAGTTATTTTGGTCGGTTAACTGAAGTAACTGATTTTTTTATAAATTTTTAATTAGATTGATTTGAATATAATAAAAATATTTTTTATTTGAGTTAAAATTTAATTAAGTGTTAATAATTAATGAGTATAGTGTGGTTAAAAAATAATTGGGTCTTAATTTTTAATGAGTTTGAGCTTAAAAATATGTATTTAATATATTTAATATTTAATAATTTCGGTTAATTAACATTTCGAATCAAATTAACTATTAACCGAAAATTGAAAAAAATATTAATCATTCCTCGAACGAAATAATTCAGTGACCGGCCGAATTAGCCAAACTAATTCAGTTTGATTAGTTAATTCGGTTAAAATCGAAAAATAAACACCCTTAACTGGAGCAATATTATTTTATTTTATTAATATTTATTGGGTTAAATATAATATAAATTCAAATATTTTGAATAGAGATTTAATTATAATATGTAGGTTACATGTAATTTAATCTAAATATAGATATCAGAGATAAAAGTTATAAATTAAGTCGATTTTCAAAATCCTTTTATATTCTTCTATTCTCTTTGATATTAGTAAAAAATATCTACTTGTGTTCGTATTTTTTCTGATTATGATTTTTACATAAAATTTTAATATCTTATTTTTTTCTCTCTTCAATTTTGTGATTGATTCTATTAATGTCTAATATAACAAATACAATTTAAGTCAATTGATATTCACCAATTTTATGGTTGATAAAATAAAAGAAGTTATAAGAGAGAAGTTGTCCCTTTGATCAACTTCAATTTCAAATTTAATTATGATAATCAAATATTAAAAATATAATTAAAAATTCAATCATAAAAACAATACATTACCAAGTCCAAGGGAAGCAACCCTTACAAAATCTTCAAGTTCCAACCAATTAATATCCTTTATTTTATTTTACCACTAAGAACTTCCTTTAGTTAGGAGAACAACACATCGTTGTCCCACCACTTTGTTTTCTCCTAAATAAAAATATATATTAATCAATTAACTAATTTGTTAAATAAAATAAATTTTAAGTTTCAAAGGTAACAAATTGATCACTAACATTATCGATTTGTACGTTATTGTGGGTGACAGAAAACAGACATGGCTTGTTAATGCTGATCTGGTACCATTTTGACCAATCTTTCTCTTCCATCTCCATACAAGGATGTTCTTGCAGAAGACACCATTCTTCACTGGTTCCGCAAAGGAACAAACCCGAATGGCAGGTATGCATTCAAGTTATATTTGTTGTGTTGTTGAAAAGTATTTTTGAGGTTTGGCCTAAGCCAAAAGCTAGCCAAATGGAAGCTACTTGGTGGCGGAGAGAGCGTAAAGATAGAACTTTAAAGCCTTTCCAAATCTTTACCAACCTAGGGGTATCATTCTGAGTCGTTCCTGAAACTCTAGTTGATGCCGTTGCAAAGGCCTTATTCACATCTTGTGTTTTCGTTGCCATCATCGGCTTCCGTTGAAGTTTCCTTAACTCTTCTACCGATTTCCCAATGAGTTGTTTTGAGTTTGATCTCTTCGGATCTTTGTTCTTGTCGTTTTTCACGTTAGATAGAGACGATGAAAGGCTTCGAGTTCGAGAAGGGAGCGAAGTATGAAGAGGATTATTAGGCAGCGGAAGAGGAAGCAGCGGCGGTTACTGTTGATAATTTTGATAGAATAATGGGTTGAGAAGAGAAGACGAAGGGTTATAAGAAAAGAAAAGAGATGATGGAGGAGCAAACATCAGCCCTCCACCTTCATGGATGACGCTCGTGTTGTGAAAAAGGTTTTCATTTTGTTTCGAAATGAATTAGATCCGCTGCTATATCTCCTTACAATATTATTCTTGTTTGGAGAAACAGATTTCTCAACTGAAGATGACATCAAAATCGAATCCATAAAACAAAAAGGCGGCGATGATCCTTGAAATAATACGATCAAAGCCCTAAAACCTAAAACTTTGAAAATCTATATATCACAGAGAGGATGAAACTTCTCGATGAAAGCAAAGGAATATAAAAAAAGAGGGAATGCATACCTGCCGTTCGAGTTTGTTCCATTGCGGAACCAACGAAGAATGATGTCTTCTCTAAGAACATCCTGGTATGGCGATGGAAGAAAATGGAGATAGAAGAGAAAGATTGGTCAAAACGGTGGTCAAATGGTACTAGAGCAGAATTTAACAAGCCACGTCAGTTTTTCGTCACCCAACGTAACGTTAGTGACAAATTTGTTATTTTTAAAATTTTACTAGAAAAAACGAAAACTTACTTAAACATTAGTGATCATTTGTGTAGTTTATCCAAATTTTAATTCTCTTTCATTTTGGTCACCACTATTAGCTTTCGTTAAATAATGATGTGGCACGTTACAGTCTTATTCCACAAAAAGAACCGCAAGGTTCCAAATTTTCAGCCACAACAAGGTGAAATTTATGATGAACAGAGCCATTGTCGATTAGTCCCAACTGTGAGAAGGGTCTATTTGGCCAGAAGACTGACATAGTTTGGTTTTAGGTCGATATGACGGTTCAGTGACATATCAAAAAAATTCACTTATAGTTTCAATTAGGATTTAGATTTGAAGAGATCGAAAGATTTTTCCAACGTCTTTGAATGAAATGAACGAGAAAGAAGAATAAGATGAGTAGTTTGATTACTTTTTCAATTAGAGAAAACACCAATAGCGACAATGAAAAAAAAAAGAAACAATCCAATAAAAATTAAAAGCTAAACTTTTTTTATCTATCAGTTCAACTTAAAATTATATTTTGTTAATCTTTTTACCAAACATGTGCTTCTCTTTATATGAAATAACTGACAGCTGTTCTATTAACCGTAAACTCAACTTTTCCAACTACAAATAATTTGAAAAATTAGGGTTGTTTGGAGAAAAAACTTCACATCAATTTTTTTCTAACGATTATTAATGACAATGACTATACTAAAAGGGAATTAAAAGTTGAATAACTATAATTCAAAATTTAAAAGTTCGATGACAAAAATGATAGTGCCCTAAAAATTCAACAACTATCATTATAGTTTACCCTTAAAAACAATACATTTAAAAAGTCCAACTGAAGCATCCCTTAGACCCTTACCAAAAAAAATGATCTTCCTTACTTTCTAGTTCCAAGTTAGTGGATTTGTGAAAGTAATGGCCGACTCTCCATACAAGACGAGACACGTGACATGTCTGCCACCATGATCTACTGTAAAATTCAAGTGCCGAGATGCCATTGGTGGAAACCTCACGACATTGTACGATGATGTTTTTTTCCTTCTAATTTCTCCTGTGTTTTGTTCTGTCCGAATACCTACTTAAAAAGCATAATTAGTATTTAGTATTATTACTTATTTTGTTAGTCTCCTCTTTTCTATCTTTCCTTTTCCTCCTCAGTTTTACTAAAAAAACACAGATAAAGTCCTGACCCAGTTTTTATTGAATCTCTTTTAATCAACATTCTTTTGAAAAAAGGTTGTGATATAGAGATCTTTCGTCATTTTATTGTTTCTACTCTTCGAACCCTAAGGTAATGTTTGAAGATATAAAGAGAGAATAGACCAGGGTTAAATTTGTGGTTTGAAACTAAAGAGATTGATATATCAAAGATAGAAAGATTCCCTGTCTTTTTGATCTTTTAATCTTTTTAGGGTTTCTGATTATTCCATTTTCCTTCTCCTCCTCCTTAAGTATTGATTCCATTGGAAAAATCTTTCTGGGTTTTCTTGTTAAAATATATTTTGCCTTTTGGGATACTAGTTTATTGTGAATATCTACACATATTTGGCCTTTATATCTGGGTTCATCTGGAAAAACAATTGAATTTTGGTGAGTATTCTTCTTGCTGTTTTAAGCTTCTTTTAGGGTTTGCATCATTTTAAACGCTTGAGTTTTCATGGTGAAAAGTAGGAAATGGTGAGAGGAAAAATTCAGATGAAGCGAATAGAAAATGCAACAAGCAGGCAAGTGACCTTCTCCAAGCGTCGAAGCGGGTTGTTGAAGAAGGCATACGAGCTTTATGTTCTCTGTGATGCTGAAGTTGCTGTCATCATATTTTCACATAGAGGAGGACTCTATGAGTTCTCAAGTTCTGAGTACGTTCCTTCATTACTTTTCCATTTTCCCCAGTAGATTTTGAATAAATTATGGTGGAGTTCGTATATGTGAATGTGTGTTGTAGCAATGGAGTATGGGTGGTGTATGATGATGTTGGGTTATAATTGTTTTTCTGACTCTTTTCTCGTTTGGTCTTAATCATATCTTTACCACCAATTCAGTTTTATATTGTTTGTACTTTCAAAGATTTCTTCAAATATTGCGAATTTATGGTGGATCTTTCTTTTCCTTGACTACCTTATTTGGCAAATCTTACACTTGGTGTCATTCTTTTTTCTTTGCCTTTTTTGGGCTTTTGGAAAGAACAAAAGCAAAAGGGTATTGAAGATTTGAAATTGATCATTTCATCCCTTGAAACTCCTCGACCAGCTTTGTTTCGGCCCTTGTCTCGTAATTAATTGATTGTCTTTTAGGGTTTTGCAAGCTTGGCAAGTGTTGCTGAGAACCACTAGATTTTTGTATATTGGAGAGATGGCAGCATATACGCGCCTTCTAAAGTGTTCAAGCCTTTTGTGCAATAGGATATAGTTTCACCAATTAGACCAGCGAATGAATAAGTAGTACCTTCGAATCTATGTGTCTGATACGAGTGTCAAACACGAATATTTCGAAGAAAATGTAAAGTCCGAACAGTATAGATGTTTGTATCTTCGTAGTGTATGAACTCCCTGCCCTTTATTTGCTGTTAGCCTGAAATGCACCCTGATTGACATGTTCTTCATTTGGTGTACCTTCTTTGCTCTTAGGACATTAATTAGGTCTGACAAGACATACAAGGACAAGTCTCTTGAAACTTCAAGAGATGAAGTGTTTTACCCTTGTATATTTAACTTGATGCTATTGATTACTTCCTAACAGCTTCATTGTACTTCATCTTCAAGTTCTTAACATGTGTTGTTCCTGTCTGGTTTTCTTCAACCTCGGAATCTTCTACAACTTGTCCATGCTTGCTTTAGTGTCTCACAAGCCATTGTCCTTGGGAACATGACATTGGACACTCGATTTTGCATCTCCGAGGTCTTTTTTTTTTTCCTACCAAAAAAGTTCATTACATAAGTTGAAACATACTCATTTTGAATATAGTGAAGACAAAAATTGACTTAATTACTATCACTCCGTCCATAATTAGACTTTTCTTAAATGCATTCCCACCACACACATAAGTTATTAGACCATATGTAGAATGTCACAAGTCGAGGGAAAGGAATGCAATAGCTAACAAGAGAGATATAAGACAAAATCTCTCCTACAGCATAAGTAGGACAATGCTTTAACACGAAAGTATTCTATTCATTAAGAAATATGTCTAGTACTTGAATATGAGATATGATCTCTAAGAATCCTTCAAATATATCTATATATATAAGTAATCGTATTTATGTTGGATATATATCCGTATCCAACACTTACACCCGAATCCAAATAAACATAAGACATTAGAATTCCTTAATGAAGAGCCTTCATTGACCTTTAACTAGATGTTGTGCTTTAACAGACAATTATTATTATCAGCTCACCTTATTAAAGTTTTTTATGTTATTCTTGAATCAGATCCTTGGATAACCTTATCATTTTCCTATCCCAACAAATTATTATCTATATTCATATTAGAAGAACTAAAACATGTCTATCCACATTTAATATTCTCATATACTAGCTTAAACTTTCTTTCTCTATATTATACTTTACGATTTCTATACTCCTTAGTTTTTGTGTGTTTATAAATCATAATCTTATTTAAGATAATATATATAAATTTCAATGACTGATTTTATTTTGTTTTGTGTGTAGCAACATGCAAAAGACAATAGAACGATACCGTAAGTGTACAAGAGAAGCTCAAACAGACATTTGTAACACTGAAAGATATATTCAGGTTAGAATTTAATGTTTAAATTTTATATCCAAAACACATACTTTTATCAAATGTCTTAACATCTAGCATATACTTAAACTCGACTTGACCTTGATACGATAGTAGATGAACAAATATTTACGGAAGAATAAAAAGAAAGTACACATACAATCGATTGAAGAAAAAACATAGAATATACGTTCAAATTACCTTTTAGAGACATTAGATAAAATTAAAATTAAAAATGATATTGATATATGTTCAAGTTATGGTTGAATACAGTTAGACACTTGTAGCATAAGACAATGGTTATGACATTTTTCTTTTAAATTTTAAAACCAACATTGAGCAATTTTGCTTTAATGAGATTTTAAAATTTAAAGCTTTTAATTTCAAAATTAGTTGTTTAAAAATTGAACGGTTATTTGCATGTTAACATAGTATATATTTTTGACATAATTTGCATGTAACATGCAGCAACTGAGGCTTGAAGCGGAAACTATGGCCAAGAAGATAGAGTTTCTTGAAGTTCATCGAAGGTTAATGACTTAATTAGATGTTTCTTCCTACAATTTCTAAGTTACATGTATAATTATAATCATAATTGTAATAAATCATTATAAAATATGATAATATTGATAATTGAAATATATCAAACTCTAGCATAAAATAAATCTAGATATAATCTACGCATGTTAGGAAAATAGGATAAATTTAGAGATAACCCATACATAATTTACGTATAAGCAATTCGTACATATATGAAATCTATCTGAACTGAGGGTTTTTGTTATTTCAGAAAGCTGTTGGGTCAAAGTCTTGGTTCGTGCTCTATAGAGGAACTTAGGGAGGTTGAAAGCCAGCTCGAACGAAGCTTAAAAAACATTAGGGCAAGAAAGGTTAGCTCTGCATCATATATATACATGTGTACATCAAATCAGTCGGATCAAGATAATGAATTTGTCATCTCGTAATGTTCCAGAACCTTGTATTCCAGGAGCAGGTAGAGCAACTAAAAGCAAAGGTACGATAGCTATGCAAACACTTGATATGTATGTCACTTAGGCTTAGTCAATCTTATTTAATAATGTTCCCTGTGTTAATCTGAATGCAGAAAAGATTCGTGCAAGAAGAGAATATAAAGTTATCTAAAAAGGTCGTCTTTCTTTCTTCTAAACATTTTAGAGTATCTATGTGTTAGAATCATACTTGTATCTGACACACATTCAATTGAACAGAAGGAAGCTCTAACATGCAGCGGACCGAACTCGGAGGTGGATACACAACTCTTCCTGGGATTGGGATTGCCAGAAAACCGGTGTTCCTAGCAGGCAGGTGCTTCGGACATGGAAATGATGCTGTTCATCCTCATCTCATCAATAAATTCCAACTGTTGAATAATTGGTTTTCCTGGTAGGAATAGTGTTGTTTGTATGATGTATCCACTATAACTACTGGTATTACTTTGATATACTTATTTTAGATCCCGTTGTAACTTATAAGCGTGCGCGTGTATATATATATTTTGCTGCAATTAGGTTCTTTTTTATCTCCTCCTACCTGCTGCCTGCTTTTAATTCTACTATTATTGTCTTAGTTCCTAAGGCACTAAATGCTTGCATGGAAAAAGATTTCAGACCCATTTCTTGCTGTACTGTAGTGTACAAAACCATCACTAGAATCATCACTACTAGACTATCTCACATCTTTTCTAGTATAATCTCCCCTAGTCATACTGCTTTTGTAAAGGGAAGAAATATTGTTAATAATACCTTACTAGCTCAGGAGATTGTTAAAGGCTATTCTAGGAAAAGTCTTTCTCCTAGATGTGCCATTAAGATTGATCTACAAAAAGCTTTTGACTCTATGAATTGGGACTTTCTGATGGTTGTACTAGAGGCTGTAGGTCTTCATGTGAAGTTTTGTAGTTGGATAAGGGCATGTGTTACTTCATCTCAATTTTCTGTTTCTTTGAATGGTAGCCTTGTGGGTTATTTTAGGGGTGCTAGAGAAGTTAGGAAGGGGGACCCATTGTCCCCTTACCTCTTTGTCTTGGTTATGAATGTTCTTTCTTCCTTGCTGGATGTCTATGCAAAAAGGGGAATCTTTAGGTACCACCCTAAGTGTAAGAGAATTTCACTTACACACTTTTGCTTTACTGATGATCTATTGGTGTTCTATCATGGTTCCATGGATGCTGTGATGGGTGTTTTGAGTACCCTGGAGGTTTTTTATAAGTTCTCCGGTCTTAGGCTTATGCCCAGAAAACTGAACTCTATGTTTGTGGTTTATCTGACTCTGTCCTTCAGCTAATTCAATATGGTATGGGATTTAGGGTTGGTATACTCCCTGTTAAATACCTTGGGATACCTTTGGTGACCAGGAAGCTCACTAGTAAGGATTGCTCTGCTTTGGTAACTAAGATTAAAGAGAAGCTTTGTAAGTGGTCTAATAGAAAGTTGAGTTTTGGGGGCAGACTATAACTCATCAAATCTGTCATGTTCAGCATCTTCAGCTACTGGAGTAGGCAACTCATCTTGCCTAAAGGGGTCTTAGTGATGTTGAGAGACTTTGCATGAGGTTCTTTTGGAAAGGTTGTGATTCCCCAGCTAAAGGAGCCCGAGTTAGCTAGAACCAGATTTGTTGTCTAAAATCTGAGGGAGGCTTGGGGTTGAGGAGTCTGGTTGATTGGAGTAAAGCTTGTTGTCTTCTACTTATCAAGAAAATCTTGGCAGGTGAAGGTTCTCTTTGGATCGCTTGGTTAAATGCTTACTGTTTCAGGATTGACGATTTCTGGAATGCCGGTTGTAAGTCTCATTTTAGCTGGATTATAGTAAAGTTGTTCAAAATGAGGAGTGAGGTTGTGAGACTATTCTGTTCTAGTAGTAACTGGGATCAAATTAGAGCCAGCTGGTTATGGGATAAGGTTCGAAGCAGTAGTGAGAAGGTTCCCTGGCATCGCCTTGTGTGGTTTCCTGGCCACATTCCAAAATTTTCACTGATCTCTTGGATGGCAATCTTGGATAGATTACCTACTAAGGATAGGTTAGCCAGGTTTGGTATTGTTATAGACAGTGTTTGTAGACTGTGTAGCTCTGGCCTTGAGTCTCGAAGTCATCTCTTCTCTTAATGCTCTTATGCAAGTGAAGCTTGGTGTGCTATCTTGCTGCTATGTGGACTTAACCAGGTACCTACTGGTTGGAACGATCTTCTGCACTGGTTATTGCTGAACCTAAAAGGTAAATCATTGATGGTGCATATCCTCAAGTTGGCTTGGACTGGCTTTATCTACTGCATTTGGGAGGAACAGAATCGTAGACACTTTAGAGGGGTGCATTGCTCGGTTGACACAGTTGTTGGTAGTGTTAAAGAATCAGTGAGAATTAAATTGTTTATGAGCTCTATGAATAGTCTAGATACTGTAAATAGGCAATTGTGTATAGATTGGGGACTGATATAATGCCTTGATTTATGTTTGTAACAGCTTGGTTGCATTCTTTTGGATGAATGTAATTCTACTTATCCAAATATATATATATATATATATATATATATATATATATTTATAATTATTTATTATATTTAAACTATTAAATTAATATTTTTTATATTTTTAGTAACTAAATAATATATTTTAATAATATAAAAAAATCTTAAAATATTTATTATAATATATATATATATATATATATATATATATATATATATAATAATTGGGTAGGACGGGTTGGTGATTTTTCATCTTAAACCCAGCCGCGAAATTTTTTACTACATAACCTGCCTCGCCCTGCCCTGAGTCCCGAAAATTAAAAAAAAAACCTGCTATCGGGTTGGATCGAGTCGGGACCCATCATGTTCAGATATTTTGATCATCCCTAAAGTCACCTTAAGAATAGAAGTGACAATTGTTGTAACACCTAAAACGTATTTGATCATAACATCAACTATAAACCCTGAAATGTTTAAATACTCAAATTCTAGCTAAAGAAAAGTGGGGGTTTCATCCACATCATCAAGGAAAGGATTTAACTAAGAGGTTTCGTTTCGGGATTCTAGCATCAAGATAATATATTTCTAATCCTTTGAGAACTGCCTAATCTGTTAGTGTATAAACATTAGTGTAAAGGTAGTTGTAACTAAAGTTGTTAAGAATTGGTTGAGTGTTGTTACTAGTTAGTTAAGGGAAGTTGTTAATCAGTTGGCATGGTTAATCAGCTAATATAAATGAGCTGCCAAGACTCCATTTTGTGATAGCAAGATTTGATTAAATGAATACAGAGTTTTCCTTATTCTTCTCTACTGTTTTCGTTATAAGTAACAGTTGGGTTTCTACGGACCTGTCAACAAAAAAATCCAAAGGCTGGACTTACAAAGTCTAGCAGTATAATCGTTAATCTTAAGTAGTAGGACTTTCAACATCCCTTCAGAGTACTTTAATATAGTTTTAGCGGACATGTGTATTCATAAGGCATTTATTATTATATTCAGAATATTGTAATTTAGCTTTCGAAATTTTATTTTATGATGTATTTAGATAAATAACTTTAATAGTATATTTCATTGGACAATGTTAACCAAGTTTGATATAAATCCAAAAAACTCGTTAATTGTATATTTCGATGTACAATGTTAATCAAGTTTGATATAAATTCAAAAAATGAAAAGGGTAGGGTGATCCGGGAGGCGAGGCGAGGCTCTGATAACTATTAGATGTTAAAGCACTCGTAAAGTTCTAATTTTTCACAACCTAAATATCGAAGCCACAACGGTTCTTTCAAAAATGAAAGAGCACTACTTCCTTATAACTAGCTCATATTTTCCTTACGCAGCCGATGTGGGAAAACAGTACCTTTTAAAATTGAGAACTGAAGGGAGATATATTTCCAACGATTGTCGCCTCTGATTATTGCCGTTTCATAGGGGTTAGAGTCCTGGATTTCTCCTTGATGAAAATGTTTAGATTTTAACCCGAGTTCGCTTAAAGAATCAAGCTTACAATATGGGGTTTTACTACGATGGATGGAGCGATGGCTGGTATTTGAATCTCTTTCGCAAGGTTTGTTTAAGAAAGATTTGAACCAAATCAAGTGATTATTCACAGTTCAGCACCAGATATATGGTGTGGGCTTGGCAGTTGACAATAAAAAAGTTGCGAATTCCATGTGCTTTGTTATTTGCTGGTATGGAGCTGAAATCTATTGTTTTTCCTCCTCTCTGGTTCAGCGGACTTGTTTTTTCTGGTTCAATGAAATATCACCGCTCCTGGTCGATACAGCATATAATATATTTAATATTTGCTTGAGCCCTTATTTCGCAGCAAGCAAGCAAAGTGGTGTTCAACACCAAGCACCCATCCCGGATAAATTATATCTTTTGATTAGGGCGGATCTATAAATTAAAAAATACGGTACAAAATTTTAATGTCCTATTTTAAAAAAGTTGAGTAGGCAAATTTTCTTATTTTTTTCTAATCCTATTAACAAATTAAACTAAATTTAACATTTTTTTTTAAAATAATGGGTGTAATTACTCCCCTAATGAGCCATGTACATCCCCCTGCTTTTAATATCACTTCTCATGGAATAATTACAACCCATCGGTATGGTTCACGAAGTTTTGGAAAATTGACACCATTTGAGGTTATAGACAATTATCAGATTCGGATGACGTGGTTGAAGTTCGAATTTCAAGTAACGACGACTCTATCGAGGATGATGTTATTTTTACATCCCGTGCATATATTCTCCAACTGATCGAAATGGTATTATTACACTATAAATCCAATATTTTGGCACACACTCATATTTACCTATAGTAAATAACTTTGATGAGTGTCATAATACTAGTTGGGGCTCGCCTGTTTTAGCCTTTTTGTACTGAGAGCTTTGAAAGGCTACAATTGTCGAGCGAGGTCAAAAAGCTGATGTAGCAGTTGTTTTATATTGCTACTTAGTTTCCATTTTTACGTCAATTACAATAACCCTGTTTGAGTTTCCTCTGGCTATAAGTTAATTTTTCACTTTATTTTTAACTAACTTTTTAATATATTTATCTTAATTTTTTATCTATTTTTAATTGTTTTTTATTTTTCAATATTTTAGATGGTACCATAAAATAATCGAGACGAAATTTTCAGGTGTCATGAAAAATATATACGAAAGAGGATCGACATCACCAGTCGATATGCCGTAAATATTAGCTCTTTTATTATTTTATTTTAAATTGTTTAACTTTATACATATTAACTTTTATAATTAATATTTATAGTTTTCTTAGATTCTATATGCAGATGAAGAAATCTATTAGTTATTGCCATACGGATTTTTTATAGGTCCAATTTATGGCCTACCGAGACGCATGTATTAAATTTTACGATTGTTGAGTTACACATCTTTGATAGAGTGTTGCGACAGTTTACGTCTCATCAATCGATTCCTACGTAAATATGAGATATGAACATGTTCCATATAATTGATACACATGGGAAACATTAAAAAATTAGCCTATAAAGCATGCTTACTACGTTGGGCAATGGAATCAACGTACTATTATCCCACGTTACGAGATTATAGGGATCGACCTAGGTTTTAATCATTCTCTATCTTCAAAATTACAAAGCAAGTGGAAAACCATATCTTATGACAACGGAACAGTGGGGAGATCGGAACAACACAAGGCCATATTCGCCAAGTCGAAAAAATCATCGTCAGCTTATTCTTCTGATTCAGTATCTGAATCTGAAGATTACTATTATGCATCTCAAGCTAGTTTTGGTTTCTATCTTGCATATCATACTTCAACCGATACTCAATCGACTTGGGTTTGAGGTTTATGGTATACAAGCAACACACTCAAGCTTCTTCGACAGAACATACGGGTGATCATAAATGAGATAATACCATATGTGGTCAACAACACAGAGCCAATTCGATTCAGTAACGATAATGATGACGCCAAATATCATAAGTTCATCACATATTTCGAATGTGGATATCAAGTGTGTTAAGTACACATTTTTTTAAACAACAAAACAATATGAAGATAAAGACGACGACGACGATCAAGACCGACTCCTCGCACTATTATTATTCGACCACTCATCGACATTATTAAAATTTTGAAAATATAAATAAATTTTATTATGTACTAATTTGTTAATTATCATTTCAATGTGAGAAGTTTCATGAGCATCCTTACCCAAGACTGTTGTTGTTGACCATTGACCAACGGATGTCGTTGGTATCTTCCACCGAGTATCACAGTTGGCTCAGTAGTCAAGCCCAACTTACACCTACTAGCTACTCACTAGCTCGGCTCTGCTCAGCTATCAGTACAAGTAGGTGGTCTATGATTTGGCCACGTGGCTTCCAGTTTCTAGGTGATGTGATGTGGCCTAGCGCCTCGGTTCCCTGCAAGAAAAGTACCTGAAACGGAGGCCGTCATTAAGACTGCGATTAATAAACTAAATTTATATTATTATTTTATTGTAAGAAATGCATGCAATTTTATTATTTATCCACGTAATTGCAAAACATGGATATTATATTCGAAATTGGTGTTTGATATCCCAAAAAAGCAGGGGACAATCTCCGGACGCTGTCGTAGCTTTGGGAAGAAACAAAAGATGGCTCGGGATATATCTTGGATTTTGAACCTTTGATCAGAAAGTGGGACCCAATCCCTATAAAAGGTGTAATTTTGAAAAAAAATTAGTAAATAATGAATCATTGGCAGCTTTAAACGAGCCAAGTTGTTTGTTGCCAAAACCCTGTTCGCCTGTGAGTTTGCAACGCTCTGCATAAAACAAAGGTTGTATCTGGTCCCCTGTATTCTACCCCTTTTATATTGTTGATTCCATCAATTCATCCTAATTTAATTTATCTTGTTAAACTCCTTAAGTGATTTTAATAATTATAAAATTATTTTTTAAAAAATATTTAAGTTTTGAAAGCTATTTATATATTGTCAATAATTAAAAAATATTTTTAACAAATTTTATAATCCTCAAAATTATCCAAAAATAATGAGTTAAAATTTGAAACTATATGAGATTGCTCTATTTTCGGGACTTCTCCATAAGTTAAAAAACCAACATTATCATTTGTATTTGTCGAAAAAGTATTATTGTTGTACTTCCTTTAGATTTTCTTTACAAATCGCACATTTGTTTTCATTTCTTCGTTTATCAAAGCTTTTTAGGAGTTTCTCTATTGGTCTAAACTTTTATAGATTCTCAAAAGTCTTTAAAGTTTCATATTCTCTGTTAAGTGACAATATTTTTATATGGTTACTTGTATATAATCCGTTAAATTAAAGTATATCTTACGAAAATAATCTATTTATTATGTAATTATACGAACAATTGTCATAACTTTATGTTTGACACTAACATTGTTAGTAAATTCTAATACACTATTCATGATTAGGGAATGAAGGATGAAATCTCTCCCTTTCTCCACACTATATATTATATTATTCTATTCCTTACAATTATTCATTATGGCTATATCAAATCGGTAAAGTTATCCACAATGACTCTATCATAAGAGGAGAATCATAGAAAGAGACCACAACTACATCTACAGGCATGATGTGAGATATAATTTACAACCCTAAAATATTTTTTTTGAATAACTTAACCAATTAAATGTAATCATTAAAAATTTAACTTAAAATCTTGTTATATACTATCATAAAATAAATTTTCTAAATTCATTTAAAAAAAATATTTAATAATATATTAATTATAAATATTTTATAAAATTTAATTAATATAATAATATTATGGATTTTTATTAAAAAATTAGAATTTAAATTAATGAAATCGAATATCATGTTTATATCCTCAATTAAATATTATAATTTTTATGAAATAAATCAAAATGACATTAAATTTTTAATATTATAATACATAATATTATATCTTAAAACCCATACTCTTAAATATAATTTCATATTTTATAAATCAAATACTTGTTTAAAATAGAAAATATTCCCCCGTCCATTTCTATATATAAAAGTCGAAGAAAAGAGTGGTAGTTTAGGATAGGAGGACCATAATTGCATGATCCAATAAACGATGGAAGCACAAGCCACGTCATCATTCTATTAATATAGTGTATTATATGATAGAAAGGTGATAAGTATGGATCCAAAACCCCATCATCGTGACATTATTTTCAAAATATTAACGGAAAAGAGTGGTAAAATTATTCACCGCTGGATTCAAACAAGATATATGTGTATTTTATTTATCTATTATTACTTTCAGAATTTATTTCTCAATAATGACATCATCGACGGCTCCCTATTAATACTTTCTAAAAAACATTGCATTAATATTTTGTAGAATTTCAAAATTCAAATCCGGAGTTGATTTGGTTGGAGTTTATTAAAAATTAATAGGTGCTCATTACTACTTGTATAAGATTTAAGATGATTATATATAATCTTAATATTAAAAGATTATTATAGATTGAGTTTGATTTTATATTCTATTATAATTTGATAATTTATAATATTTTTTTGGATCTGTCTTGATATGGTGTATCTATTGAAAAAAACATATATATATATATTTACTATTTTAGCTAATGATATAAATATCTCTTTACATTTTAGACATAAAATTCAAAATATTTTTTACATTTATTAGACATAAAATTATAAATATTTATTTATTAATTAAAAAATATTACAATCAAATAATTTGATAGCTATAGGTACACATTTAAAATTTTCAAAATATAATCAAATTATAAAAAGTAAACCAGTAAAAGTACACAACAAATGCCCTTCTAAACAATTTAACCTATTTTTGAAGATAAAGTAATAGATATTGTCGAAATTCAAAAGTAAAAGATCTACTAAATTTAGGGACTAATAAGTTATTTTATCCTATTATTAAATAACCACAATGCCACTCAAGGAGAGAGAACTGTTTAATCTCATTGCACCATGGGTTCGAAGGCTTCATTCGGAGTGCAAACCTGTGTATAAAAATTTTTTAGGAAAAAAGGATGACCATTCCGTTAAATCAACCGACTCAAGTCGCTAGACGTCCCTTCACCGCCGTTTCCAAATGCTCTTTTTATAGTAGTTTTAGTTTCTTGTTGCGTTTCACAGACCGTGTGAGATATACAAGGAGAGAGAGAGAGAGAGAGAGAGAGAGAGACTCTGCATTTGTTTTATTTATCTCTCTTAATAACACCTCTGTTTCCTTGCAGTTCACGACTTCACGCTAAAAGCCTGTTCTTTCTCCTTAGTCCTTATCTCTGTCTGCGTATTAAACCCGAGCTTTTCAAGCATTCTTCTTTGCTTGCATTTGTCAAGGCAGAAGTAACGTTTCTTTTCTTCTTCTTCTTCGTCTCCTGTGCGTCGCCTTTTTTGTGTTTGTTTCAGTGTTTGACGATGGAGGAAGGGGTGCTGTTGGAGAAGTTAAAGAAAAGGTTGGAGCTTTATGGGATTATAGTAATGGTGATGGTGTTTCTTTCTCTTTGTCCTCATGCTTCTTCACTCAATGGCGAAGGTACCCTGTTCTCTCTAAATGATTCAGCTAGTGATTGTAGCTGTGGATCTTCTCGTGTTGGTTTCTTTTACGTTTTTGGGGCAATTGGTTTCTTTTTCGAGAAAATTTCCACTGTGATAAGTTCAGCTTGCGTGTTTAAGTTAAAGAGTGCCGTAAACTGTAGCATTTTGGTGAAAATAATTTTACTGACCTTTTGGAGCTTAGCGGCTTATTAATAGACGAGAAATGGTGCATACAGGGAAGGCATTGATGTCAATGAAGGCGTCGTTTAGCAATGTGGTAAATGTGTTGCTTGACTGGGATGATGTCAACAATTCAGATTTTTGTTCATGGCGTGGTGTCTTCTGTGACAATGTCAGCCTCTCTGTTGTTTCCCTGTGAGTGTCTTCTTTGTTTGTTATACGGTCTTTTTCGTTTACCTGATGCACTATATAATTGTGTGCTTTTGGGTTTGATTTAAGGAACTTGTCAAATTTGCTTCTAGGTGGGGAGATATCACTGCATTGGTGATTTGAGGAACTTGCAGTCCATGTATTTACTCTTTGTCCCTTTTTCTCTCTGTTGTTGGCTTTGAGTACTTGCTGATAACATCATATATGCATTTTGTTTATTATCCTGTGGCAGAGATTTAGAGGGGAACAAATTAGCTGGACAAATTCCTGATGAAATTGGAAACTGTGGTTCTCTTGTTCACCTGTAATTCCTCAATGGTTTCTGGTTTATTTCTTCATGCTTGCCGGGTTTTTGTCTGGCCGTGTCTTATTTTTATTACATAATGCAGGGATTTATCCGACAATCTTTTGTATGCTGACATTCCGTTCTCCATATCAAAGCTCAAGCGGCTTGAATTTCTGTATGCTACGTTACGTTTTAATCCTTTTGTTAAGTTAATGCATTCAGTTGTTACAATCTTTTGTAACGTAAGTATGATTCCTTTGTTCAGGAATTTGAAGAACAATCAACTAACAGGTCCTATTCCTTCAACATTAACTCAGATTCCGAACCTGAAAACAGTGTGAGTTCATTATGTCCTATCATTTTATTGAAGCTTTGGAAATCTGGAAACTTGCAGTCAATTTCTTATGAAGTTTTTACTGGCAGTGATCTAGCAAGAAACCAGCTTACGGGGAGATACCCCGATTGATTTATTGGAATGAAGTCTTGCAGTATCTGTAAGCACCCGTACCGAAATCGTACCTTGCATCTTTTCTGTTGTTGCTTGTTGTCCAAATGTGGTTTTGATTTTCCTTTTACAGTGGGTTGCGTGGCAATATGTTGACTGGAACTCTTTCACCTGATATGTGTCAATTGACTGGCCTGTGGTATTTGTAAGTGCTTGTGATTTGTAGTTTTGTTTCTAGCTTTTTTGGCTTCTTGTTAGCTTATAATTTTTTTAATTGCTTTCAGTGATGTTCGAGGAAACAATTTAACTGGTAATATCCCAGACAGTATTGGTTATTGTACGAGCTTTGAAATCTTGTAAGTTGAATGAATGCCTCTATGTACACGTGCTTTTGTTTATGGTTTAGTTGTTTTTTTTTTGTAAGCATACGTTATTGCCAATTTTAGGGACATATCCTATAATCAGATTTCCGGGGAGATACCATACAATATTGGTTTCCTACAAGTTGCGACTTTGTAAGTTCCTTTGAGGCTTCATTATTGTCTTATTTCGATTGTTGCAAAGTCATTTTAGATGTAAAACTAGTTGCGCAATCATTTATCCTCCCAGTCTTGTGGCAGGTCCCTGCAAGGAAATAAGCTTACTGGGAATATTCCTGAGGTGATTGGTTTAATGCAGGCCCTAGCAGTCCTGTAAGTTATCCATTTTCCAAAATCCAAATAAAAGTATTTTTGTCAGTAGCGTCTGGTTTAGATGTGTTGAATGAGGTGGCTGATACGTGTTCTGATCGAATCTTTTTTCTAGGGACTTGAGTGAGAATGAATTAGTTGGTACCATTCCACCAATACTTGGGAATTTATCATTCACCGGGAAATTGTGCGTTAATATTTCCTTGGGACCTAAATGAACTTAGTTTTCTTGTGTTCTGTATGCTGATTTATTGGTATGTCGAGGCAGGTACCTCCACGGAAACAAGCTTACTGGTCCAATTCCGCCAGAGCTGGGCAATATGTCAAAACTAAGTTACTTGTAAGTTACTATTCTATTTAGTTTTCGTCAATCATAGCCAAGTATGTGGAAGCATATTAAAGATGTTTAATGGGAGTTTCACAGAGTTAATTATTCTGCAGACAATTAAACGACAACCAGCTTGTTGGTTCAATCCCCGCTGCACTTGGGAAGCTGGAGCAGTTGTTTGAATTGTAAGTTTCTATTGCTTTGTGTTGCGTTTTCTCTGTTCTTGTTGTTATCGGTTCTATTTATCAATGCTTTCTCAGGAAACTTGCCAACAATCACTTGGAAGGACCCATTCCATATAACATCAGCTCCTGCACTGCTCTGAATAAGTTGTAAGATGGAACTTGAATGTTTACATTTTGTGCTTTCTATTTAAATCTTAAAACTGATTTGACTTGATCAATTTTTTTCCCAGCAACGTGCGTGGTAATCGCTTAAATGGGTCTATTCCTCCAGGTTTCCAAAATTTAGAGAGCCTAACCTATCTGTAAGTCTGGTCGAGTGTGAAGAATTTGTCCATTAGTCATCAAGGAATTATGTAATTATTCTGTTAACCTTGTTGTGGGTGTCTAGAAATCTATCCTCGAACAATTTCAAAGGTCGGATACCTACTGAGCTCGGGCACATTATTAACCTGGATACACTGTAAGTTATCATGAAGAGTTAGTTGTCCCCCTCCTCCCAAGAATTGAGTCTTGAATTCTGATCTTCAATATTGAATTTGTGGTACTGTTGTGTTTTACAGGGATCTATCAGGCAATGACTTTTCAGGGCCTATTCCTGCTTCCATTGGTGGACTTGAGCATCTTCTTACACTGTTAGCTATACTGATGTATTAGTATTCCTGTGTTATTTTCTTCTGTGGTTCTCTAAGTTTATTTTTTAAATTGCAGGAATTTGAGTAATAATCAACTTGGTGGTCGACTACCTGTGGAGTGTAGGAATCTCAGAAGCATACAAATCATGTGAGTTAATTTTTCTTTAAGATGCCGTTGCCTATTTTGTTTCCCCTAATAAAGTTCCTTTGCATTTTCTTTTGCAGTGATCTCTCTTTCAATAGTATTTCTGGCAACATTCCTGCGGAGTTGGGTCAATTGCAAAACATTGTTTCTCTGTAAGTTTGTTTTCTCATGCTTGATGGTGATAATTTAAGTTCCTATTTCTAGTTGTGGAACTGTAATACCATCATGGATGTGCTGTTATTACAGAATACTAAAGAACAACAAGTTGCAAGGTGAAATCCCTGAGCAGCTTACTAATTGTTTCAGTCTAGCTAATCTGTAAGCATTTGTTCTAGTTCCCATCCACTCTGGTTCATTCTATAGTTCGTTGGACCAATTTAGTCTATGTCTATGTCTCTAGGAATGTCTCCTACAACAACTTATCTGGCATTATACCTCCCATAAGAAACTACACCAGATTTTCGTCTGATAGGTATGCATGTTTACTCTTTTCCTTTGTTTTTCTTTTCAAATTTGAGTCATTGATTTATATATGGTTCTCAGCTTCATAGGAAATCCATTGCTCTGTGGCAATTGGCTGGGATCAATATGTGGCCCCTCTATGCCAAAGTCTAGAGGTATCATCTTGGTAGCTTTTTTTATTTTTATTTCATACTTGTAATATGTTCTTGAGCTTATGTTATTTGTTTCTTCAATAACTTTTCTTGCTTTACTTTCTCCAACAGTTTTTCCGAGGGCTGCGGTTGTGTGTATGATTTTGGGCTTCATCGCATTGGTTGCTATGACTGTTCTTGCGATTTGTAAGTCCAACCAGCAGAAGCAGATGATGATGGGTCCTATGAATTCTGTAGCTGGTATGTGGATCTTTAAAATTGACCGACATAATGTATATGTTTCCCTCGTCTAAATGTAAAAAGGTTTTTTTTCTCCTCAGGTCCACCAAAGCTGGTAGTTCTTCACATGGATATGGCTATCCATACCTTTGATGATATAATGAGATTCACCGAGAATTTAAGTGACAAATATATCATAGGCTATGGTGCTTCCAGCACGGTTTACAAATGCACATTGAAGGGGTCCCGGACGATTGCAATTAAAAGACTCCACACTCATTTTCCAAACAGCTTGAGGGAGTTTGAGACCGAACTTGTAACTATAGGAAGCATCAGGCATAGGAAGATTGTCAGCTTGCATGGCTACTCGTTATCACATTATGGTAACCTCCTGTTCTATGACTATATGGTGAATGGCTCACTGTGGGATCTTTTACATGGTTTGTTGACATTCCTTTACCTTCCTTTGATATACCCCATTGTTAGAATCCGATTTATGTTTATTATAACATATGCTGCAGGGCCATCGAAAAAGGTGAAGCTTGACTGGGAAACACGATTGAAGATTGCTGTTGGAGCAGCACAGGGGCTTGCTTATCTTCACCATGATTGCAATCCTAGAATTATTCACAGGGATGTCAAGTCTTCTAATATACTGCTTGATGAGAATTTTGAGGCTCATCTCTCCGATTTTGGGATTGCCAAATGCATGCCGGCAACGAAGACACACACATCTACTTATGTTTGGGAACCATTGGCTATATTGACCCGGAATATGCTTGTACATCTCATCTTAATGAAAAGTCGGATGTTTACAGTTTTGGAATCGTTCTGCTGGAGCTTCTGACAGGGAAGAAAGCTGTAGATAATGAATCTAACTTGCATCAACTGGTGCGTTTAACATTCTGTTTTGCCATGAACTTCAGATATTCGTTGTTGCAGTGCATAATATTTTGGTCGCTTATTGTTTGGTCAGATACTGTCAAAGGCTGACGATAATACGGTGATGGAAGCAGTTGATCCAGAAGTCTCAGTTACATGCCTGAATTTAACTCATGTCCGAAAGACCTTCCAACTTGCATTGTTGTGCACTAAGCGTCTCCCATCCGATAGACCGACCATGTATGACGTTGCTAGGGCTTTGGTTTCCCTTCTCCCTGCGGCAACTCGCACTAAACTTTGTTCAGCTCCACCCAAGTCAGTTGACTATTCTCGGTTCGTGGTCGGCAAAGGACGCAGCAGCAGCCACGGCAGGAGACCAACTCATCTGATGCTCAATGGTTTTCTCGGTTCCGGGAAGTCATTTCTATGAACACCCTTTGAAGTCAATCCCAGCGGCTGAGTTTTGTTATATATAATCAAGAACATGATTAGGTAATAATTAAATTAGAACTTATTAACTCTACTTGGGATAAAAGGGGCAATTTCATTTTGTTATGTATCGTATTTTACAATGTTTCGACTATGTGTAAAACAATTTCAAACTGCATTTTTATTATCTCCGACTCCTGCTCACCATAATCAGCTAAGGAAAATGGCGTTCTAATATGAACGGCCATTACAGATTTTGTCCAACTTATTACCAACATTCTTAACTGGCAATGCCATTGTGGTCCTGAGGATTCATGAAAGATCTAACCGAGAAACGATTGCTTAATTGTTAAAATTTTGATTCCTTTCTCTTCCAAAAGGTTAGGCTTCATTGTTAGAAAAATGAAAATTCCTTATGCCCACTCACTTCATCAAGCTGCTTCGGCAGGGGTGGCCAGTGGTGGACGATAGCAATAAAAATGTACATGTCCCATAGATTTGGCCAAGTGATGTATATGTATTGCCGATTGGCTGGCTTTGAACTCTTACTAAATAACCCAAAAAGTAAGTTATCCACATATAAAAGTATAATCTTTATATAAAGCAAGCAAAAAGAATTCATGGAATGAAATGGAAGGTAGGACAAATGTCTATCATAATATGCTCATCTCTTGGATATCATTTTTATAATATTCTTTGCATTTAAAATGATTTATCTAGTTCGATGTAGTATTCTATGATCCTTTATCAAAGTTAAAATGTTATAACGTGTTCAAAGTGTTTGATCATATTTGAACAGATTATTGGTAAGAATGATATCTCTAAAAATTTCAGAGTAATAAAGAGAATTTATGTTGACGAAGGACTTGTGTGCTTTACTACATAAAATCGTAGAGATTTGATATCATATGATTATATCGTGTTTATAATGATCGAATTGTACATGTAATGAGAAGTTATGATGGAGAGTACAAGAGGGGGGCAAAAGGGAGATAAAAGGTGGGAACATTTAGGAGAAAGCTGAATCTGGATTGGCCATATGTGAAACTATGAGCTGTATAACCAACAAAGTATACATATGTATGTATGTGTGTACACCTACAAGAAGACATGAACAAAATGGTCCTCGGAGATGGCCAAGAGAATAATGGAGTTCTTTTTATCGCTTAAACTGACCTGCATTCTTCCTATGATAATTAAAAAAATCCAGCTTGCCTTTATTATTTTCCCATATTGCAACATAAAATAAACCCAACTAGTTTATATAGTACTTTTTGGGATTCAATAAAACGTTATTAATTAAGTGACGAATTGTACCCAATATGTTTTTGCCTATTTTAGGAATGCTTTTCCAAATTTTGTGGAATTACAGGTACTATCTGTATCTGTATATCATCTATCTATATATATATATATATATAATTTGCCTAAAAGCTCTATTGTTAGGAAGATTAAGTGACAATAATATTTGTTCTATCGATTATTAATGCATTATTATGTCTTGTATTAACTCTAAATTAATAAAAAACGATTTTTTCAATTTATCCTTTCATATTCATAATATAATCTAAAATACCTAACGTATCATACCATTAAAATTCAGTAATATGAAATAATAATTAAACTACTCTATAAGCCAAGTGAATCCAGGCCCAATGATTTGGTTGAGATAACAACAACAAAGCAAAACAATTACGTCAATGACTAATTTGAGTGGAATATTTTCACATGATCACTATAAGCCATCAATGAAATGTCATGCAAGATTCATTCATGCCATTTGCATTCATCTCTCTAATATTATACAAATTACAGACAAAGGTGTTAGGTTTGCAGAGCAAACGGTTGAAAGATCAGGCACCATCGACATATAAATTTTTTGTAGGAAAAAAAATCAAAATCAAATCCTCGAAAAGGGAAGAAAAACAGTAAAGCAAATTAACTGCAGCTTTTCACATTAAGTTGCTACACTCGAACAATGCCTTCGCTGTCATTTCCCTTTCGAATCTCCAAATGTAATTCAAACCCACCAGAAGTTCGGTAATGGCTGCTTCGGTCTTGTCTTTGTTCGCAAAGAAAAGAGTTTGTGGAAGAAGAACATTCGTTTTGGGCAACAAATTCTGCTGTTCGAAGCTCCTTTCGCTTTGCCATTTGATCATGTTGTGTGCTAATGGCGATAACCAACCCAAGATCCTTCCCAGAGCTGTTCTCCATTCACCGGCCAGAACCGGATCACTGGCCGAAAACCTGACTCCTTTTAGTCTGCTCCTTAGAGACGATCTGATACTGTTTGGTAACATGGAGTAAAGATCATCTCTTGCATCGACGCCCACTAGTTGCGGTGACTTGATCATTTTCTCCATTACGATAATCAAATTCGAGTAGTGTAAAGCTAAAGCTGCCGCGCCTAATGTGCTCGGCGGCGGCTTCAGAAGCTTCGAGTTCGACTCGAAGAACCCGAGCGTGGAGTCTTTGTTTTCTTTGGGTTTAGGATTTTCGGTTGGATGAACGGTTGCGGAAGCGGAGAGGCTTCGTGGTAATAAAGAAGGACCGATCCCGAAAACAAGCTTGATCCTTGCTAAAACAGTGAAGATCGATCTCACAACCATGGAAACAACCATGTCGAAGCTTCTGTTCCATAAGGCTCTCTCTTTTAAGTACTTAACCTCTTGCCTTTGCCAGCAAAGCTTCTGCTGTAGATCGGCAATCTTCTGCTCTTTGATCGCTTCTTTACACTGAAAACTCTTGCTCAAATTCTTCTCCGTAGTGGACAACTCCTCCATTTCTTTATACAAAGTCGCCGTGATCGTCACGTACCGGTCCATCGTCTTGTTCTTAGCTTCCATGTCTTTGGAACTCAGAACCCATCCATGGCTATCGTGACCCGAATTGGCGAACTCATCGAACCACCGATCGAAACTCTGAAGAGTCGAGTCCTGGCACCGCTTGCTTATCCTCGAAACATGCTTAGCCACCACCCTAACGATCTCGACCATCTCGGCACACGCCAGCCCCAGCAGGAAAGACTCGTCGTTGGAGACCATCTTTCGGACACCTTCCAGAGATATGGATTCGTCTCGAAGACGAATTACGGTCTTGTCTGAAAGAGAATTCCATAAATGGATAAGCTTTGACATGAGGCCGGCGATTTCAAATGACAAAATCCCGACACTAGATTTATGCTTTGAAACTTTCGAGTTCGGGACTGAAATTCTTGCGGTATCTAAGCTGTTGGATATGGATTTTTTCACTTTAATCAGCCAAGTTTCAAGTGCCATGGATTCCACTTTCTGGGAAAAGAAAGTTGAAGAAGAAGATCAAACGAAAATCAGAGTTTGAAAATAATTGAGAGTTTGCCGAGAGATAAGGATAATGAGGAAGAAATGAAAGCTTGAAATTTATTGAGATTAAGCTCGAGGGATGTTGAGGACATTATACAAATAGCAGTACATTATAAACAGTTCAATTTTTTTTAATTAAAGGACTGATGAGATTTTCTAGGTTAACTTTCAGTTTTAGTCCTTTCACTATGCTGGAATTCGGGATTCAATCCTTATAATTTAATAAATAACTTTAATTAATTCAAATAACTATATTTAAAGACAATTTTTGGAAAAAAATGACAAATTAGTTATGTGTTATGGTACAAGTTGAAGATTATTGCTTCATAATTAGCCAATATTAGACATATATCTCCATACAAAGAATTTGTGTATATATATTCGTGCATCCATGACAAAACTTTAATTCATTGCTTGAGAATGATACCTTTCACAGTGTTTTGGAGATGCAAGTATCAAGGGGCATGACAAATTTGACTAAACTCGTTGGAGAGATGGTGTTTTGTGATATGAGATTAATTATGAAATGATTTCTTTTGTTACGTAGAGAATATTTAGTATAGTACGATGAACATTAAATTTGAATTATTTAGTCAATAAATTAGATACTCATAGTTATAAAAAGAAATATAATTTATATTGAAATCCTTACTTACAATCATAATGTATAACTTTTATATAGAGGAGGTCACAAAACCCAAACCTACTCATTGAATCACATGGGTTGGGTCATGAGATTTGACAATCGGTATATCTAAAATCCGAATGACAAAACATTGTTTTCTTATCTTTAATTCTTTCAACTTCGGCAAGGCTCAACCTTTAGCCTTTGCCTTTCCTTTTGGCTACAAATGGAAAGGCAGGGAAGACTGGCCTTTATTTAATTGTCGGAGATGAATTTCTACATTTCCATGCCCTTTATGAAAGTGCCCTTCCACTTGCCTTTCTTCACTCTACTTTTCCCCTCTTAACATTGCATTCACATTCCAAATTGTGTTTCTTCCCCCCCACCCCCAATTTTCACCCCTCCTCATACATTTACCTAATTTTTCACAAGCACGAACCGAATTACCTCAATAGTAAATTAATGTCAAATGATTGAGATATCTTTAAATAGATATTGTCTTGTAATAGATGAATAAGGTGGTTGAAAAAGTAAGTTGGCACACACTATTCATGGAACACTTGGATGCTTTTATTTGGTATGGTTGGGAATTAAGATGTTATTTGTGGTCCGGAAGCAAGGGACTTGAAGTAATCGAAATAGAAGAATCATCCTCTATTGGAAATGGAAGCCTCCCCCATATTTATTACAATGCTAAAATCCAGACATGGAATGCCTAAATGCCAATACTTAGATCCACTGAAATTAACCAAATCTTTGCCTAGATGCACATCTCCAATATACATATATTAATTAACTAAATTTCAAAATTAGATTCATTGAAAAAAAAACAACAATTATAGATGGAATAGACATGTATTTTTGGATGAATGCAATGAATCAAATATTGACCGTATTCACGTGATGCGACTAATTAATAAGTAAAATTGATTAGGATCTAACGGTATTTTTAAGAATGGATTAAAAAAAATATTGAACCATGCGTGCCGAGGTGGTAGGACGCTGGGCTAGCTCCGTTTCTGCCACACGGTCTGGCTGTCGCTCAACATTGAATCATGGCCTGCCATTCTTGCTTAAATCGTGTGATGCCATCATCCATATTGAAGAAGCGTGGCTGATGATTATGTTGAGCAATAAAATCTGATAAAAACAAATTCGATTTATATCATTTCAACTGTTTATAAGTTACAAATTTAAAAATTACAATTATTTTGAATAGAATAAAATTTAGGATAAAATGTACAAATTGTCCGTCGTAGGGATGGAGCCACGTAGGCTCTTGGGGGGGCACTGTCCCTCCCCCAATTTTTTTTACCGTTAAAAAATATAGACATAATTATCTATTTGGGCCTTTAAATCCTGGCTCCGTCCTGATCCTCGATTATAGAATGTTGCTTTGTTGAGTCTCATGTTATTAAAAGTTACAAAATAGTCTCATGCTATTGAAGCAATATCTTCTAGTCGGAGGATCATTTTTTGATAGTCGAATGACTCAACAAATCAACATCCTATAATCAAGGGGCATTTGTATACTTTAAAATTTAATTAAATGAAAATAATAAACCAAACGCGAAAAGAATCAATTTGATTACATGAAAGTTAAAACTACTCCGAAAGGGAAATAACCTAGTTTCGAAATTGACAACTCTTCATGTATATATTGTTTCAATTCCTCCCCAATATTTTCAAAGATGATTTGGAAAGAGAGGTTGAAAGCGAAATGACATCACTCCATTGCATTAAATTGATGACCACACGTTAAATTCTGATTTTCGCCACTTCAAAATTTATAAATTTTTAAGTTAATATAATAAAAGAATTATTTAGAGAACTATAATTCAATTTTCACTTAAGAAAAACACTTCCCTCTTATCTTTATCGTGTCGGCTGGTCGTCTAAATTTATTATCCGAAATGAAATATTCCATCAATGGACTCACCCGACTGGTGGAGTGCAATGGGTTCGGGCCACGACTGCCATGAGTAGGGTAGGACCCATATGAAGATTTTTGTTAATTGAAGGCAAAATTAGGAAATATTGAAAGGTTGTCTTTGGCTTCTTCTTGGTGTGGACCAAATTATAAGTGTGCATAACTAAGATCCCACTATGGGTGCTTCACTAATCATCAAATTAACTCAAACCAAGAGAGACCATTTCATGGTTAAAGTATAAGAATGATCTTTTTGGCTATTGTTTTTGGAAGTTTATAAAATTGGTATAAAATGTTCATCAAACTTTATCAAACCAGAGCAGAATATCATTAAATTGATCGAACTCTTACAAAATTTTACTTAAATCTATAGAAATTTATAACTATTTTACAAACTGCAATGATCACTTTGTAATAATTAGGTAAATCTAATGATTATTTTATAACTTTTGGAACTTCAATAACTAAGTAGATTGTTTTGACATATTCAGTGACTATTTACGTACATTACCGAATAGAAAAAGAGTTTTAGAATAATAATAATATTGGGGGCAATGGGCCTCTCGTTTTGATGAGAAATGGAGGAGGATTGTTCCACTTTTGCACAACATTCCTTAAAGAAAACGGTCCCATTACCCATCCATTTACAAACAATCTCTTAAACAATAAGATGGTGCTCCCTCTCTCTCCCCCCCTCTAATTGCTTTACCCCTTAATCGATGAGCTATGTGCACGTGTGACATTATGATTGTAGGTACGTGGTAAACCGAATTATTCACCCCCCACGCATGTTCATACGCCTCTTCTACCTACATGCTAATTTTGATTTATTGAGCAACCAAAGATGGAGTTCAATTAGTATTACCTTTTGTTATGAAACTGATTTGAATAAGAATATTGCGTATTCATAGTGGTTGAATCCATATAATTGTTTTTGGGCCAACAATCCGCAATTATAAGTTGAGATTTCCAGCTTTTAAGTGTCATGATATTTTGCACGGTTGTTGTGGACAAAGCAAACATGTAAATAACATCGAATGTATAATATTTTTGCACAAATGGGCCTCTATTGGAGAACATATCCGAAGGAATTGGATCATCTTGGCCAGCAAATAATTTGGGTCCATTGGGCCGTAAAGGGTAATTGATCGGCGTCTTCTATATCACCCCTTTTCTTTGCCACACATGTTATTGCCAAGTTTTGCATTTCACTTCTATGGCACCAACTTATAAAATTATGAAAGAACGCATAATTAAATCAAATCAATATTAGAGGAATGATTGTTATTTCAAGAAGTCTCTGCAGCATGTGTGATTAAACATTTATTGTTAAATGGTTGAAAGTATATAAAACAAATATCATTTTGTAGATATCATAGCTTAATAAAAATATAATTTATCTTTCCCCGACATATGATTATACGTAATCTTTAAATCATGTAAAACTCAAATGACTATCGCGAAAAATGAAACAAATTTGTCTCATTAACTATTATTATATCTTCTTCAAATCTTATTGACAACTTTTTTAATTCAAATTTACTAAAATTAACTTAAATTATTTTCAACACTTTCATATGAAGTATCATCCACTCCCGTCACAAAATCTTTACCAACTAATTATTCAAGTTTTTGTTGAGTGATTTCATGTTAGATTGTGTTTCTTAATTTATTTATTATAATATTTTCAATATATATAACTCGGCGTGTCAGAGATATCATCCTTGCATTGATAATCTTTATAAATGTTGAAGCCAATTGCAGGAAGTAACTTACCGGTTTTAATCATCAGTTTGCCGTTATGTATCTGATATTATGTTTTTTCAATAGCGGTAGGTTCTTTAAAAAAGTATATTTTTTTTTTAACTTCGGTGCATTTCATGCTGCAATTTTCTGCATCTTTTTGTCAAAGAAAACAATTATTCTTATTATTACACCAGATGTAAGGGCATAACTCACAAGTCATCACACGTGTATATATATATATATCAGCACATTAGATTTTATCATTAATTCAAGTACAGTTAGGGTGTTCATCTCTCGATTTTATTTGAATTAACCAATCAAATCAAATTAGCCCGGTTAGTCGATCAACCACCAAATTAATTCAGTTAAAGAATGGTTAACTTTTTCAATAATCAGTTAATGGTTACTTCGATTCGTAATCAGTTAGTTAACTAAAAATTAAATATTAAATATACTATATATATTAAATTCATATTTTAAGCTCAAACCAATTAAGAATTAAGGTCCAATTAACTTTTTAACCATATTAGATCCATCAAATTATCAACACCTAATTAAATTTTAACCTAAATAAAAATACCTTTATTAAACTCAAATTAATCTAATTAAAAAAATTATATAAACAATAGTTTAATTTAGTTTGGTTGAGATTTAAAAAAAAAACATTTGGTTCGACTAACAGTCGAAGAAAAAATTTGATTAA